AACCCTTTTATATTCCTTTATTGTGAACTATCTTATTTTAGACTATATAGCCTATGGCTTCCCCCCTCTAATTATTAATATAAACCTAACAACTCCCAAAAAAAAAAAATCATGAATAATTAAAACCAATTTTTATTCCTATATCCTATGTCACCAATTTATCAATTAGTGTTGGCTATCTTACCACAACCCATCAAATGCAAGTAAATGTAAGTTAGTCAACTTCAAAGCAATCCCAAAAACAAAGCCTGTAACCCCTTGCTCTATAACCCCTAATTATCTTAAATTTACAGAATAATGTCAGTCCTTGATTCCCAACACAACTCCAATCAACCCCAGTGATGCACATAGCCTCCAAAATGCAATTTTTAATGAATCAGTTTGCCAAGCCTATGTGAAATTGTCATCTCAAAACCTTTTTTTGACTTGATCCTCTGCCGCGTCACGTGATGTCACGTCAGCACTTCCTGTATCTCCTCTCTCCTCTTGCTTATCGTTCCTCTCATACGACAGAAGAACAAAGACACAGAATAAAATTTTAGTAGTTAATGCAATCACTGAGTTATTTCAAGCATATTCAATATTCCCCCACTCATATTCGCTCTAAGACTTAATTCAATTCATTACGTATTTTATTTTAATCCGTCATTTAACTCAGGACTAAATAGATCGCTCAAAAACATTTTATTTAATTTTAATCGTCTTCTAATTCAATTTATTATAATCCGTCAACATATCTCTCTCATTTATCAATTCAATAGGTCACAAAACAAGTTTCATCTTTAACCAACCGCCGCTTTACAACTAGAATACTCGTGTCCAAATATCTCTTTGTCTGTGTGTTTCTCTGTCTTCCTGCAGCCCCCAACAGAAATATGACCCATTAGCAAAAACGTGTTGTAGTTTAGTACCGTAAACCAAAACGTGTCCTAATCTCGTGCCATAAACTACAACTCCCACGTTTTGTAGTGTAGTGTCATAAAATTAAACGCATGCGCAAATGCATTCAATGATACGATTCCCAGAAAATAGAACGATAGCCTTACGCTACAGCTTCACTATTTTATACCTTATAATCAAACACTACACATAACAGAGCTCACATTTGCGTAGAACTTTGAGTTCCACCCACATACAAACAAGTTTAAGAGGCTTATCCTATCGCAATAGCCCTCTAAGGATATCCGTTAACGTGTAGCACGCAACACAATTAGCATTTAGCCTTAGCATTAGCCGCTATGTATAATGTAGCCTGAAACACAACCCAGCATTTAGCATTAGCATTAGCATTAGCATTTAGCCAACCTGTGGTTTGCACCACGCAACAGACATCCTGCACTGCCCTTATTCCTTTTAACATTTCTCTACCATTTTGTGCTACCGTGGATTAATGACCATTTCACCGAGAAATTAGACCCAATCAAACCCCCCGTCGGACGAAAGTCGAACCATAATCACAATCAGATAAATCCCATTAATCCGAGTTTTCCTTTAAAAAACCCACCGTCTTGCACATTCTATCGTGTAAGCGGATTTGTCGGCCCATCATTTTCTAAATGGCCCCCCCGGGGTCTTAAGCGGTACAGTGCCCTAATGAATGCGCATATCTGTTTTAATTGTACACCTTCAATACTTAATTCCTACCGTTTTATGCTCTAAACTTCCAATTACCTGCCGTTTACCCATGGAATATATTATAACAGACTCTAGTCGACCGCAATAAAGCCACATGAGGCACATTTCTGGTACACCCCTCCAGTGTACACACGCAGTATCCAAACCAAGCTGTGAGGAACACTCACCCTTGTCTGGTCATGACTTCAGACCGAGTTAGCTTGAGTTAGCCTGGCGGCTACGAATGAGCAAAGGAGAGATGCAGACCAGCCCCACGTTGGGCGCCATTTGTCGTATCGGGTGAATGGTGGCAATTATTGCTGTCAACAAAGAGTCCGCTTATGCTGCACAATGATTAGAGGCTTTTATTAATATCACAAGGTTACAGCATAAGTTACAGACCTGCGGTGTCTGGAGAACGGCGTCCCAGATTGCAATGGCCGTTCTGCCTTCTCCTTCGGTTTTCCCCCTACTTATAAACCATGCAAAAAGATGCTCCCTCTTCTGGCCAATCACCAGTCTCCCCTGTCTACAACACACTTCCTGTCTGTTGTATGTGACGTTACACTAAAACATTCCCTCTTGATACTAAAATCAACATTCTTTCAGTTCCACTTAAAAACCATTTAACAACGTCATAATCTCAATACACGACACAGCTCTTTCAGAACATCAGCTGTCTGGATTTGTGTGAGGAGAAGCGGGGGGGGCATGGGCATGGGCAGGTTGCAGCAGAGGGTGCAGAGCTGGTGGCCGGGGTAGTGGTAGCCAGGTGGAAAGCATGGCCAGCCATAGCAAAATGCTTGTTGAAATTCTCGATTATTGTAGATTTATCTGTGGTGATAGTGTTTCCTAGCCTCAGTGCAGTGGGCAGCTGGGAGGAAGTGCTCTTATTCTCCATGGACTTTACAGTGTCCCAAAACGTTTTGGAGTTAGTGCTACAGGATGCAAATTTCTGTTTGAAAAAGTTAGCCTTTGCTTTCCTAACTGCTTGTGTATATTGGTTCCTAACTTCACTGAAAAGTTGCATATCGCGGGGGCTATTTGATGCTAATGCATTATGCCACAGGATGTTTTTGTGCTGGTCAAGGGCAGTCAAGTCTGAGGAGAACCAAGGGCTATATCTGTTCTTAGTTCTGTATTTTTTGAATGGGGCATGTTTATTTAAATTTGAGAGGAAATTACTTTTAAAGACCAACCAGGCATCCTCTACTGACGGAATGAGATCTATATCCATCCAGGATACCTGGGCCAGGTCAATTAGGAAGGCCTGCTCGCTGAAGTGTTTTTAGGGTGCATTTGACAGTGATGAGGGGTGGTCGTTTGACCGCGGACCCGTTACGGACGCAGGCAATAAGGCAGTGATCGCTGAGATCCTGGTTGAAGACAGTGGAGGTGTATTTAGAGGGTAAGTTAGTCAGGATGATATCAATGAGGGTACCCATGTTTACGGATTTAGGGTTGTACCTGGTAGGTTCGTTGATAATTTGTATGAGATTGAGGGCATCTAGTTTAGATTGTAGGATGGCCGGGGTGTTAAGCATATCCCAATTTAGGTCACCAAGCAGTACGAACTCTGAGGATAGATGGGGGGCAATCAATTCACATATGGTGTCCAGGGCACAGCTGGGGGCTGAGCGGGGTCTGTAGCAAGCGGCAACAGTGAGAGACTTATATCTGGAAAGGTGGATTTTTAGAAGTAGAAGCTCAAACTGTTTGGGCACAGAGTTGCCGACAAGCTGGTTCAGAAAGGGCTTGAACTCGTCCATGGAATGTGTGTGCGTGTGTGTCTGTGCATGTTAGCGCGAGTGCGTGTCTGTGTTAAACTTCCCGTTCAGTAGCACATCACCAGTGATATACAGTGCCATGAAAAAGTATTTGCCCCCTTTCTGACTTTCTCTATTTTTGCATATTTTTGATACTGAATATTATCCGACCTTCAACCAAAACCTAATATTAGATAAAGGGAACCTGATTTTACAAATGACAAAAAAAATGAATACCTATTTTATTTATTTAATTAACAAAGTTATGCAACACCCAATTCCCCTGTGTGAAAAAGTAATTGCCCCCTCACACTCAATAACTGGTTGTACCACCTTAGCTGCAATGACTGCATCCAAATGCTTCCTGTAGTTGTTAATCAGTCTCTCACATCGCTGTAGAGGAATTTTGGCCCACTCTTGCATGAGGAACTGCTTTAACTCATCAACATTTGTGGGTTTTCAAGCATGAACTGCTTGTTTCAAGTCCTGCCACAGTATCTCAATTGGGGTTAGGTCTGGACTTTGACTATGCTATTCCAAACTTAAAATGTGTTGCTTTTTAGCCATTTTCAAGTAGACTTGATTGTGTGTTTTAGATCATTGTCTTGCTGCATGACCCAGCTGCACTTCACCTTCAGCTCATAGACGTATGGCCTGACATTCTCCTGTAGATCTCTTTGACACAGAGCAGAATTCATGGTTCCTTCTATTAAGGCAAGTCGTCCAGGTCCTGAGGCAGCAAAGCATCCCCAAAACATCACACTACCACCACCATACTTGACCGTTGGTATGAGGTGCTTACTGTGGAATGCAGTGTTTGGTTTTCTCCAGGCATAATGGGACCCATGTCGTCCAAAAAGTTATACTTTTGAATAATCTGTCCATAGAACGTTCTTCCAAGAATCTTGATGATCATTCAGGTGCTTCCAGGTGCTTTTTGAGTCAACCTTTTGGACAACATGCATCCCATTATGCCTGGCTAAAACCAAACACTGCATTTTGGTTTTTTATTGACGGAACCCATAGTTATATTTAGATCCTGAATGAAAGACTGGTAATATCAGATTCAGTGGTGAGTATGTTGAGAAATGTCTGTGGATGGAGTTTATTTTAAGGTCCTGTGGTTTGATGGGGGACATGGGGATGACTCCCGCCTTGTCTTGGTATTCAGACAACTTCCTGAGAGACAGACAGACAGCCACATAGGAATGTAGTTTTCACTATGTTCAAACAGAGGAACTTGAATGTAAACCAGCACTTGCCTGCTTTGGCTTTATGGAGGCATACTAGATTAGAGTTACTGGTTTAGAAACAGGTCCTGCATAAACATGGATATTAATAAACTGCTTTTTATACTTTTACAATAGCAGATACATTTTATTTAATTTGACTATGCTGTGTTGGTTTTGACTTTGAAGCTGTGATACGCCAGGACCATTTTATTTGAAGTTGACATATTATTATTATTATTATTATTATTATTATTATTAAGCCATCTTCCTCTGATTATGTGCAGGCACACCTTAGTTCTGTTAGCGTGTAAACAGTAAAAGGCGTTAATTAGACCTACATGCTTCCTATACTGTTTTTTAGCACCACAATTGAACCCCTAAATGTAACATGAAGGGTAACTGTGGTATCATAGAGGTGTTGTTTTTTGGTGGTCTCCTGAATTGGTTAAGTAGAATAAAGGTAAACATTTAACAGGATTTTCCAGCTTATTTAGTGAAACCTCAATGTTGGTCAAGCAGCAGCATATGAGTACCATCCTGCTAAGCCCTACCCTGTAGGGTCCCACAGAGTGTTTGTCTTTGGTGGAGGGCCAAAGCAGTGGAGAAATGGTGGGCCTCTCAAACAGCACTGCCCTGTCTGTACATGGCCACTGAACCATGGAGAACGAATCAAACAAACACTCCAGTCTCACAGGGAAGGTTCTGTAGGAAGGGTCCTGTTACTGTTTCCTTGGGAATGTCTGTCAACTGCATTCTTAATGTAGTCAGAGTTCAGACCTTCAGATGACCAGAGAAAAGCATCCTTGGCGGATGTCCATGACGATATTTGACAGAGATGTGGAGGAAAGACGATGAGAGATATTTTCTTAGAAGGAGCATCTCTTAGACAGTATTGAGATGTCAACAACACAATGAGACACTCTCTAGCACTTGTCACCGATCTGCTGTGTTGAGCTTCAACAGTGTTGGTGAAAAACCATCAGATAAACCCTACATGGGTATGCAGGACAGGGATGGTTTGTGGAATATGTCAGTTGAGCGTGCATGTGTGTGTTACTGTGTTGGTGTTCAGTAATTGTCTGTCTCTAATGGATACATTACTCTCTTATTCCCCCTCTCTCTCTGCAGAGCTGAGGTCCACTGGCACTGCCCAGCACTTTGCCTACTTGCTGAACACGTCTGACTACCGTATCCTGCGTATGGACGAGGACCACGACCGCATGTACGTGGGCAGCAAGGACCACATCCTGTCCCTGGACCTGCATGACATCAACAAGGAGCCGCTCATTGTAAGACCTTACAGTCACTAACGATTCACCTCTTCACCTTCCCTTACCTCCTGTCACCCCTATCACCACCTCCTCCCCTCCCTCCCCTCTCCTCCCCAGGGCTCTATAAACCCGGGGTGAGGCTAACCCTTTACCTCAGCTCTCAGAAACGGCCCACGAGGGTCATATGTTCCGTTTCGCTGCCCTGCGTTGGACGTTTTGATTAGCTCACCTCCAGTTTGTATTGGACTGCACCATTTTCTGGAGATGAGGGTTGTAAAACTGCAAAAACAAAATCTGGATATGACCATTCCTAGGGGGCTAATAGTACCGTGGGTGGAATCCCTGTGGCAGGTTTATTCCGACATCTATAAAATCCAGTGATGATGAACGGGTTGTGCGATGGGTTGGGTTATTGCTATAAAATGACCTCTGTTTTCCCCCCCCTTCAGCTCCACTGGCCTGTCTCCCAGCAGAGGAAGACTGAGTGTCTTCTAAGTGGGAAGGACACCAATGTAAGTATTTCTGTTGAGTCTCGATCTCCACACAACTAATTCAGCATTTATGTTTCAGGTCAGGTGATTTGTACCACCTGTAACATGTAGTAATGTATTTTCTGTATATATTGAACATCTATTTGTGTGCCGATATTGCTAGGTGTATAGCCTAAGTATTTATTTGAGGTTTTAGCTGTGGATTTCATTTGGCCCTGTAAAAGCCTGGTTGGCAGGACTGGCACTGAACAGCTCATAGGAGACCAGCCAGTCTCACTGTAGAGTGTGGATAAATAGATGACTGTAATACTGGTATATTGATATATTGACATTCCCAATGATATTGAATATATGCCTCTTGTACTGTACTTTGTGTTCTATCTGGGTATCGTTCATGTTGATAATCCATTCTTGTTTGTCAATGTTTGTCCTCATGCAGGGCGAGTGTGGGAACTTCATCCGTCTGATTGAGCCGTGGAACAGGACCCACCTGTATGTCTGTGGTACTGGGGCCTACAACCCCATCTGTACCTACGTCAACCGCGGACACAAAGCACAGGTTAGAGCTCCACACCTTTTGGAATACACAAAGTCTATGTTCCCTAAGCTACAGTGTAGGTGTAGAGGTGAAGGAGGGAGACTATGGCTCTGACTATAGAAATCCTCTCCACATTTACTCTCCATCCCACACCTCTAACCCAGCCTTCCTCCCTTCCATCTTTCTCTTTCTCTCGCTCTCATTCTCACTCTCCCTTTCCATCCCCACATCTCTATTTTTCTCTCTAACTCTCTCTCAATTCTACCTTCATTCCTACCATCACCGTCCTCTACCCCTCCTGATATCCACAGCTTCATCTCCTGTCCCCATGCCTAGACAACCATTGGAGTCTCAGCCTGCACACAGCTGTCGTCCCCAGCGCACTGTTACTGTTAGCGTTACTGTTACAGTGCTGTCTGTTTATTCTCACTCCTTAATTGGAAGTCTTGAGTTTCCTGGAGCCGGGCATGACCACCACGGAGTACTTCCCTGTTTTAGCGCCCCTCTCCAATACCCTCAGCCCTGCTGCTTTAAATACAACACTTGTTCCTTAACGATGGTCCTGGGGCTTTTAAAAGGGAATAAATAAAAGTTGTGGATAGATAATATTTCCCAGTTTCCTCCTCTCTGAGGACTCTGCCTGACGCAGAGGACACAGTTAGACCAATTACCTCTTCACACCCCTCTGCTATTTCATATGGATCCATATGACCCTTACTAACAAAGGGCATCCATCCATCCACTCATAGCTCTAGCAGCCCTGTGCCTCTCAGTTGTCCTGCTCCCTCTTTTCTCCCTCAGCCTCCAGTCCTCACCATGTGAGAAGTTGGGTAATTGGCCATGGGAGCTCCCATTATGGGGTGCCAGTGGAATGTTCTAGTTATAGTACATTAATGAGATGGCTTTTATTTTCCCTTCACATCGAACAGACAGGTCAGGCTCTTCCCGTGAGTCCTCTCTCTCTCTCTCTCTCTCTCTCTCTCTCTCTCTCTCTCTCTCTCTCTCTCTCTCTCTCTGGAGTTAGGTATAGGAGCAGATATGTAAAATGGTACACCCCTATACACACAGCTTTTCCAGACAGGAAACCATGAGAAGGCGAAACGCTGCTCAATGCCAGAAATCGGCTCATTTTCTAATGTGGATGTATACACACACGGACACTCACACGTCAGCAACCTGAAGACATGCAGAGATATTGTTAACAGCTTGCCAGATTTCATAATTCTTTCTTTTTCAGTTAAGCCATTATTCAGGCATGTATTATTCACTCAGCAACGATTTCCTTTTTACATACCTAAAGGATAGTAGCCTACATGGGGCTATGATAGCTAGTATTGTCTGTAAAAGCCAAATGTTGGTTCTTGGCAGTGGCTCAGGCCAGAGTTGAGTGCATATACCATACTGTGAGAGACTGTATTGAATTAACGACAGGGTATAGAACTAATATTGCTGATGTTCCTACCATCTGGTGAAGTTGAGCTACACAAACATTCATTGCACAGAGAATGTAGAGAATGAGAAATCCATACATGTTCATCACAGGCTGTCCGAACGACATTATTGAAACTGTCATGTAGTCACATCAGTCCAAGACCAGTTTACAGAGATACTGAACTCACGTCAGGTCCCGCCTACTGCAGGTGCGTAACGTCCAAAATGTGTCGCTGTCTCCTGTTTTAGGCCGCCATGCACCTGCAGATGCCCCAGACCGAAGGGAGGGCTAACCGCGTGGCCGAACCACTGGGACTAAAGGTGGGACGTGGGTCAGGTGCCCGTCACTAGCCTGGGAAGTTCTGCCCGTCTGCCCCTGAGCCTTGCCCCTATGGGCTGAGGAGTGCACTGCCGACCCACTATGGGCCTCAGCTAGCATGCCATGCGCTCTCTGTCTCCCCCCTCTCTCTCTCTCTCTCTGTAGGGGGAGGGCTGTGCATGTCTCCCGACCCCTCTGTTCTGTCTGTGCTCATTCTGTGTCTTGAAGCACTTCTGTCATCATCAGTTGAGCGTGTCTTCGCTAGACCCTGTCCAATTGGTCCTTCAAATGTTCCTCTGTTTTTCTTTCCCCCATCATATTTCGGTTGTGCATTGCTCTCATTGGTCATTTGTCAATTTCTGTGTAAGCCTCATCTTTTGAGCACTCTCTCTCACACTCTCACTCTCTCTCTCTCACTCTCTGTCGGTGTGTGTGTTATTGAACTGATTCTCCAGTATATAGGATGAGAGGATGAGAGACATTTGGCATGAGAGAGATGAAAGTCCAGCATTTTGTGATTTGCTACACAAGGTCACACAACATGTTGATACAGTACACAATCAAATATAGATATTTCATTGAGGATGAATACAGTATAACGCTGACACCATCGATGAATGATGCATAGAGCAGTGTTTCTACCTAATAAGCCCATTTGTGGTAGATAAATGAATCTCTTTCCTCTCCTCCTTACATTGTCCTGTCACTTGTCTTACAGGACACAGAATGCCCCACCCTCCAGTCCTTCACCCCCCCACCCCACCCCACCACTCCCTCCCTCTGTAGGAATGTGGGCCAACCCCTCCCACAGGTCTCACACGGTTAATGTCGGACCCACTCTCACTGCAGCCCTGTTGGTTCAGGACAAACACCAACTGCTAAAGCAGAAAGGAAATAATAGATCCACATAGCTGAGCAACACCATTCACAGTACAGGAGGGAACTCTGAACCCTTAGAAGGACAGGGGCATTATGTTTGGTCCTCTGTAGCTCAGCTGGTAGAGCACGGCGCTTGTAACGCCAAGGTAGTGGGTTCGATCCCCGGGACCACCCATACACAAAAATGTATGCACGCATGACTGTAAGTCGCTTTGGATAAAAGCGTCTGCTAAATGGCATATTAAATTAAATATTAAATGTTTTGAATGTGTATCGGGTAACATCTTTCATAAATGGTTTAAAAACATGTTCAGAGAATATCCCTTGGCACATGTGACCCGGTGCTCATCAACATCTGGCATCTCTTACAGGGAGCTGCCAACACCTTCAGATTTACATGTGTGGTTGATTTTAATCAAAGGTGAGAGGGAATCTCATAAGGGTGCACGTAGGAGCCAGTGGAGAATAGCGTTGGCAAGCGCCTCACTTTCTCCTGCTCGGGTGTTGATGGACAAGGACAGAGGTGTCTTCGTCTCTCTGCTCCCCTCAGTCCTCCATTGGGGAGTGAGGGTTTGGGGGATTTTACTTGTTCTGGTTTGTGGCAAGGCTACAGGGCATGTCATTGCATGCCATTGGCTGTTCCCACCTGCGACTCCAAATACCTGCCAATCACCTTTCAGTGCTGTGTATAGACGCCAGGAGTCATGAGCATCAGTCATCCAGCCTCTATCCCAGGCGTGTTTCACTGAGCAGGGATTACAGGTCTCAGCAGCAGTAGGGCTACATACACAGATTTAACCAAGAGAGGATGAGAGACATTTGGCATAGGAAAGATTGTTGTGCAGAGAGAACAGCCCTTGACGCATTATGTCCTCAGTCATGTTAGTGCACTAGAGAGGCATTAAAAAGAGTTGGATTGAGATCATGTTCTTTTTCTGTATGAAGGCACTCTCATTACTCTGTTTCATCCTTCACAAACCGCAATGCCTTATAGGCCCCAGAGGACCTACTGGAAGCATATTGCACTGCCTCAATTTTCCCTCCACCAGGGAATCACACTGACATGATGAAGACCACTATGAATTTATTACTTCTTTCTTATGATTTTTCCATTTCAGGAATACATATGGCATTTGGAGCCGGGCAAAGTGGAGTCTGGGAAGGGAAAGTGCTCCTACGACCCAAAGCTTAACAGCGTCTCAGCTTTGATCAGTGAGTATCATCATCCAGGCTACACTTGGCCACATGGCTGGAGACGTCCCAGTTAAGACCAGTTCATCCAGTTTGTCCCCATGGCTCTCTCAGTGACTCTGAGGGTCCTTGAGGCCCTGTCCCCTGTGTACGCCTCCTTTTATCTCCTACTACTAAAAATGGCTACCTTCTCTATCCCCAATTGTTTTTGGCAACTTTGTTAAAAATGTTTGTATTGCCTAAGTTCTGTCCATGCAGACAAAGTATCCTTTTTCATTCTGTGCCTATTTTCCATGAGAAGGATCACAGAGGAATGCTCATCCAATCTCTGATGATAAAATCAGAAGGCATCATGCCTTGTTAGGAATCGTATTGAAGGAGCTGTGGGCACAGACCACTGGGTTCACTGTTTTAATAAGCCAATCTTTTCCATGGTGGCTTTGTGACTTTCATCTGAAAAATACCAACATATTCATATGATTTGTCGTGGTCATTTATCATGAGAAATCCAATCATTTGCTTTTCTGGCCAATGCATGCAGAGCAATCACATGACTCATTGCAACATGTTTCTGGTAACTTCATGTTGTAAGGTCTATGGTATTGGTGTTGGTGGATCTTCTAAAAGGAACCATGATGTAGTTGAGTGTCCTCCACCCTCCACTCATGGTCAGTCTGCCTGGGCCAGACCTCACAGTTGCCACCAGTGTAAGTTGATCCTGACTCTGTGGGGTGGGACAGTCAGTGTAAGTTGATCCTGACTGTGGGGTGGAAAAGTCTGTGCAAATCGTCAGTGCTGCCTTCCCACGTTAGCACGCTGCCAGCTGACCAGGGCAGAACCAGGGAACCAAGAATCCAGGGAACCAGAGACCTGTTGTCCAAGATGAACTAACCCCGTCTCCACCAGTTAGCATCAGCTATGGGTGCCTAATAGCAGGGAATAAGAACTGGATACTACTTTGACCCCTAAAAGGTCACACATGTAGGTCTACCCCCTCACCCCCACCCTACCCCTAGATATCACACACACTATATACTGTAAATCAGGGCCTTTGTTGACTGTAGTTAGTAAATCATTGAATTAATTATGTTACATAGTAGTGTAGTTGTTGCTGCCTTTGCCCTGAGCCCCTGTTGTCCCATTAACCCCACCCCTGAGAACTCCCTATAGCTACCAAATGCATGCTGGAACACCTGCTCTCATATGAGGCCCAAACAGCAACTGGAGGACCAACATTCAGCCTCCCCACTGATTAACAAGACTCTGGTCCTCCTACCCTGTGTGTGCCTTATTCACATAACTTTAAAAAGCCTGGGTAGTGGCTAGTCCCTTTGGCCAAACAGTGTGATCTTTATTATGTGTTTATTATGATGTGTGCTGTTCATCTGTCTTTGTCCACACTGTGTGCTAAATACTTATTTGACACTGACACCATGATGATGACAGCCTAAAGATATTCTGCTGGACGTAGGGAATGGAAAGCCCTAAAGTATTGGGCACTAGGGTCCTGCCAGGGGGTCCTGCCAGGGGGTCTTGCCAGGGACTGAAGGTTTAATTTGGGGAGTGGGGGTTTCTGTGTAAGGAGAGCCTCAGTCCTTTATGCTGAGGGTGTGGCTGGCTTTATATCAAAGAGTCAAAGTATTTGGCTCAGCGGATTAATCTCTCTCTCTCTGTCCTTTCCTCTCCCCTCTCTCTCAGATGGTGAACTCTATGCTGGGGTCTACATTGACTTCATGGGAACAGACTCTGCCATCTTCCGTACTGGGAAACAGACCGCCATGCGTACAGACCAGTATAACTCCAGATGGTTAAATGGTAAATAAATGTCTTCTTTGGAACCCAAAACATGTGTTATTCAAGAGCTTGTCTATGCTATTAAGACTAGTGTGCTGTAATGTATGCATGGGTTGGTTCGGAATTGAATCTACCATTTGTCAACATACGAGCCAAAACTATTAAAAAGCTTAAATAATATTTCATGTTTACAAAATCCTCAACTCTCGCCTTTAATAAACAGGAAATGCAGACAGTTTGTAAATGATATCAACCAGATGTTCAGTGATCTTCATCTCCTCCAATGCATCTCTCTCTCCTTCTCTCTCTCCTTCTCCCAGACCCTTCCTTCATACACGTGCAGCTCATCCCTGACAGTGCAGAGAGGAATGACGACAAGCTTTACTTCTTCTTCCGTGAGAAGTCTGCTGAGATGGGCCAGAGTCCCGTGACCCAGGCCCGCATCGGTCGGATCTGCCTGGTGAGCACAGCCTCAGAATGGAGTGTACTAATAATGAGACCACATTCGCAAATAACAATAATGTATGTGACATGCACAGCAAATAGAACCTACTTTCATGAAGAAAGGGAAAGGAATCAGTCAGTCTAACCAGTAACTCGCTGAAATACAATATTTAACCTCCATCTGTAAAATACATGGCTCTATCCTTGAGATGGTACCCTGACCTACGACCCTATGATCATCTGACCTCCTGACTGGTAGTCTTAAAACGTATTAAAGGATGTAGTATATTAGGTATTCAGGTAACAGCATGGTAAAAGCCAGATCCTCAAAACCAGCCCAGCAGCCCTTCTACAGCAGTATCCTCTAGTACACGGGTACAGTGGCTTGCGAAACTATTCACCCCCCTTGGCATTTTTCCTATTTTGTTGGCTTACAACCTGGAATTAGAATTGATTTTTTCGGGGGTTTGTATCATTTGATTTACACAACATGCCTACCACTTTGAAGATGCAAAATATGTTTTATTGTGAAACAAACAAGAAATAAGACAAAAAAATTGAAAACTTGATTCACCCACCCAAAGTCAATACTTTGTAGAGCCACCTTTTGCAGCAATTACAGCTGCAAGTATCTTTGGGTATGTCTCTATAAGCTTGGCACATCTAGCCACTGGGATTTTTGCCCATTCTTCAATGCAAAACTGCTCCAGCTCCTTCAAGTTGAATGGGTTCCGCTGGTGTGTGTACAGCAATCTTTAAGTCATACCACAGATTCTCAATTGGATTGAGGTCTGGGTTTGACTATGCCATTCCCAACATTTAAATGTTTCCCCTTAAACCACTCGAGTGTGCTTAGGGTCATTGTCCTGCTGGAAGGTGAACCTCCATCCCAGTCTCAAATCTCTGGAAGACTGAAACAGGTTTCCCTCAAGAATATCCCTGTATTTAGCGCCATCCATCATTCCTTCAATTCTGACCAGTTTCCCAGTCCCTACTGATGAAAAACATCCTCACAGCATGATGCTGCCACCACCATGCTTCACTGTGGGGATGGTGTTCTCGGGGTGATGAGAAGTGTTGGGTTTGCGCCAGACATAGCGTTTTCCTTGATGGCCAAAAAGCTCAATTTTAGTCTCATCTGACCAGAGTACCTTCTTCCATATGTTTGGGGAGTCTCCCACATGCCTTTTGGCGAACACCAATCATGTTTGCTTATTTTTTTCTTTAAGCAATGGCTTTTTTCTGGCCACTTTTCCGTAAAGCCCAACTCTGTGGAGTGTACGGCTTAAAGTGGTCCTATGGACAGATACTCCAATCTCCGCTGTGGTGCTTTGCAGCTCCTTCAGGGTTATCATTTTTTAATAATGGATTTAATGGTGCTCCGTGGGATGTTCAACGTTTCTGATATTTTTTTATAACCCAACCGTAATCTGTACTTCTCCACAACTTTGTCCCTGACCTGTTTGGAGAGCTCCTTGGTCTTCATGGTGCCGCTTTCTTGGTGGTGCCCCTTGCTTAGTGGTGTTGCAGACTCTGGGGCCTTTCAGAATATACTGAGATCATGTGACAGATCATGTGACACTTAGATTGCACACAGGTGGACTTTATTTAACTAATTATGTAACTTCTGAAGGTAATTGGTTGCACCAGATCTTATTTAGGGGCTTCATAGCAAAGGGGATGAATACATATACATGCACCACTTTTCCGTTATTTATTTTTTAGAATTTTTGGAAACAAGTAATTTTTTTCATTTCACTTCACCAATTTGGACGATTTTGTGTATGTCCATTACATGAAATCCAAATAAAAATCAATTTACATTACAGGTTGTAATGCAACAAAATAGGAAAACACCAAGGGGGATGAATACTTTTACAAGGCACTGTATTCAACTCTTACCATATGAGGTCCGGAGCCTGCTGGTTTAATGTTCTACCTGATAATGAATTGCACACACCTGGTGACCCAGTTCTAAATCAGTCCCTGATTAGAGGGGAACAATGAAAAAACGCAGTGGATCTGGCTTCGAGGTCCAGAGTTGAGTTTGAGGACTCTAGTGTGTGGTAATTAACCCCACGCTGTCTCAATGAAAATATTTCCCTGACCTTCTCCCCCAGAGCTGCAAATTGAGAGGATCAGCAAAAACAAATAACAGGGAATGTGTTTGTCCCTGTAGGGTAAACTTGGAGCTTAGGATGCATCTTTCTGGGCTTTGCTTACATACATGGAGAGCATAGTGTTTATTCAGTTAGTCACCGTGTGTGTGTGCTTGCGTGTGTGTGTCAGATATTCAGCTGCTCACCACTGTTTATTTGAGTGGGTCAGGTAGTGACCTTGCACACAAACACCCATCCCCCTCTCAGTGGGTTCTACACTAGTCCCCAGGGATGCTGTTCTATCATTCACTGGTCTCCAGGGATGCTGTTCTATCATTCACTGGTCCCCAATGATACTGTTCTATCATTCACTTGTCCCCAGGGATGCTGTTCTATCTTTCACTGGTCCCCAGGGATGCTGTTCTATCATTCACTGGTCCCCAGGGATGCTGTTCTATCTTTCACTGGTCCCCAGGGATGCTGTTCTATCATTCACTAGTCCCCAAGGATACTGTTCTATCATTCACTAGTCCCCAGGGATACTGTTCTATCTTTCACTAGTCCCCAGGGATACTGTTCTCTCTTTCACTAGTCCCCAGGGATACTGTTCTATCATTCACTGGTCCCCAAGGATACTGTTCTATCATTCACTTGTCCCCAGGGATGCTGTTCTATCTTTCACTGGTCCCCAGGGATGCTGTTCTATCATTCACTGGTCCCCAATGATACTGTTCTATCATTCACTTGTCCCCAGGGATGCTGTTCTATCTTTCACTGGTCCCCAGGGATGCTGTTCTATCATTCACTGGTCCCCAGGGATGCTGTTCTATCTTTCACTGGTCCCCAGGGATGCTGTTCTATCATTCACTAGTCCCCAAGGATACTGTTCTATCATTCACTAGTCCCCAGGGATACTGTTCTATCTTTCACTAGTCCCCAGGGATACTGTTCTCTCTTTCACTAGTCCCCAGGGATACTGTTCTCTCTTTCACTAGTCCCCAGGGATACTGTTCTATCATTCACTGGTCCCCAAGGATACTGTTCTATCATTCACTTGTCCCCAGGGATGCTGTTCTATCTTTCACTGGTCCCCAGGGATGCTGTTCTATCATTCACTGGTCCCCAGGGATGCTGTTCTATCTTTCACTGGTCCCCAGGGATGCTGTTCTATCATTCACTAGTCCCCAGGGATACTGTTCTATCTTTCACTGGTCCCCAGGGATACTGTTCTATCTTTCACTAGTCCCCAGGGATACTGTTCTCTCTTTTTCACTTCTATACACATCTGGATGCTCTTAATGGCGTTCCCTTTATTGTCTCTACACACTCCTAGTACCCAAATATATGAAAAAAATTACAGCGTAATTGCTAAAAAATAAATAACACAAAGTGTGTGAAAACAATTTCAAATCCCAGTTAGGGATTTATTACAAATAAATATGTGTAGACATTAGTGTACAGTATGTACAGGCCTACAACCATCATGTGGGCATTACAATGATATATGTGGTGAAAACAATTTGTTAGAGCAATATTTTTTATATTTGACCTGGCAGTGTGGTTTCCCCATCAAAGTGGAATGTGCTTTAAGGAGAATGTGTTGGTTAAGGAGGAGGAACCTCTAGATCTACTGGGTTTGGCTCTCCCTCACTGGGCTAGAATTTGGCTCTAAATAAGAGGAGACAGTGTTTACCATCTCATCCCCTCACAACTAAACAATTGTCAACGTTTCGCCAGGTCGCTTTCCAAACCGGGCTGCTTTTTTAAATATGTACAATGTGTGGGTGACTCCACCTGTGTTTATTTTTGGAGGAAGGATGTGAGTGTGTGTGTGTGTGACGAAGACCATGTTTTGTCCCTCTCTCTCCCCCTCTCCCTCTCTCTCTGCTTCTCCCTCTCTCTCTCTCTCCCTCTCCCTCTCTCTCTCCTTCCACTTCTCCCTCTCCCTCCATTTCTCCCTCTCTCTCTCCCTCCATTTCTCCCTCTCTCTCCCCCTGTCCCTCTCTCTCCCCCTCCCCCTCTCTCTCCCCCTCTCCCTCTCTCAACCCCCTCTCCCTCTCCCTACCCCTCCCCCTCTCTCTCTCTCCCTCCGCTTCTCCCCCTCTCCCTCTCTCTCTCCCTCCTCTTCCCACTCTCTCTTCCTCCCTTCCCCTCTCTCTCCCCCTCTCTCCTCTCCCTCCGCTTCTCCCTCTCTCTCCCTCTTCTCCTCCCTCTCTCCCTCCCTCTTCTTCTCCCTCCCTTCTCCCTCTCTCTCTCCTCGCTTCTCTCCCTCTCTCTCCTCCCCCCTCCCCCTCTCTCTCCCTCTCCCTCCTCTCTCCCCTCCCTCTCCCCTTCCCCCTCCCCCCCTCCCTCCCCTCTCTCCCTCCTCTTCTCCCCTCTCTCTCTCCCCTCTCCCTCTCTCCTCTCTCTCCTCTCTCTCCCCCTCTCCCTCCTCTCTCTCTCTCCTCGCCTTCCTCTTCTCCCTCTCTCCCTCTCTCTCTTCTCCTCTGTCTCTCTCCCTCTCTCCTCTCTCTCCCCCTCTCCCTCTCTCTCTCCCTCCCGCTCCTCTCTCCTCCGCGTCTCCCTCTCTCCCTCTCCCTCTCTCTCTCCCTTCCCCTCGTCTTCTCCCTCTCTCTCCTCCCTCTCCTCTTCTCCCCCCCTCTCTCTCCTCCTGCCTCCCTCCCTTCTCCCTCTCTCCTCTCCCCTCTCCCTCTCTCCCCTCTCCCTCCGTTTCTCCCTCTCTGCTCCCTCTCCCTCTCTCTCTTCTCCCTCTCCTCTCCTCCCTTCTCTCTCCTCTCCCTCCCTCTCCCTCTGCTTCCCCCTCTCTTCTCCTCTCTCTCTCCCGTCCCTTTCCCTCCTCTCCCTCCTCTCCCTCTTCTCCCTCTCTCTCGCTCTCCCCTCTCTCTCTCTCCCTCTCTCTCCCCCCTCTCTTCCTCTCCCCCCTCTCCCTCTCTCTCCCCTCCCCTCTCCCCTCTCTCTCTCCCTCTTCGTCTTCTCTCTCCCTCTCTCTCCCTCTCTCTCCCCTCCCTTCTCATCTCTCCTCCCTCCTCTCTCTTCTCCCTCTCTCCCCCCCTCCCCCTCCCTCTCTCCCTCTCCTCCTCTCTCCCTCCTCTTCCCCCTCTCTCCCCTCTCTCTCTCCCCTCTCCTCTCCCTCCTTCTCCCTCTCTCCTCTCCCCTCCTCTCCCTCTCTCTCTCCCTCCCCTCCCTTCTCCTCTCCCTCCTCTCTCTCTCTCTCTCCCCCTCCCTCTCTCTCCCTCCCTCTTCCTCTCCCTCCGCTTCTCCCTGCAGAATGATGACGGTGGACACTGCTGTCTGGTCAACAAGTGGAGCACTTTCCTGAAGGCTCGGCTCATCTGCTCAGTGCCGGGGGCCGACGGGATCGAAACGCACTTCGACGAGCTCCGTGAGTTCTCCTCCCTTCCCTTATTATGGTGTCACCTGTTATCCACATTAAAGTGAGGATTGAGGAACCAGACAGCCTGTGGCATGTCTTGAGGTTTCCCATTGGTATTAATACTGTGTCAAATAGAGACCAAAAACTATGACTTGGTGTTGCCTGTCCTTTATAATCCTGCTTGCACTATCCACCAAGCCTGATCTCAGACCAGTTTTATCTCTGCATACCACCACCTGCCCAGAGCCTGACTGCACTGCACACAGCCCAGTCCCTGTCCCATATGGCAGCCTCTTCCATTACACTCAATCCTCCTGTGGCCCATACGGCATGCTGTAATGGGAATTGCACACACTCCGGTAGTGTACTTCTTATTTTCCTTCAGGATGTCTCAAACAAAAGGCTCCTTTTTCCTGGCTGTGCAGTAAGAGGTGCTCTACCCTCCTGTAATTAACTGAATATGAGGGGCTTGCTGCCTCGTGGCAGACAGATCAGTTAACCAGGCAGGAATGTCAGGACCATTACCATGTCTTTCTCTGTCTCTGTCTCACTGCTTCCAAATAGAGCGTTGGAATGATGAGGGTTCTGATGGTTCTATGACGGAGTCTACAGTTACTCAAGACCTAACCTCAGTAATAAAAAGCTTGTGTGACTTTCTATTTGACCTCTGCTTTTAGGTTATGGTTGATTAATTCTGCTCGCGTGTGCATTAGTCTTGAACTTACTTGAACACTATGTTGCATTGGTAAGACTTTTTTTCTTAGTGGTGACCATTTCACCCAAGTAAATGAAAGGATATCCAAACCGTAAGCACCATACTCACTCTGTGGTTATAAATGACTTTGTGTCTTTATTAGTCTGCTCATTGTTGACACAGACATGCCGTACACACTGGGTTTAGGGGAGAGTGGAGAGCTGGCACTGGTTCACCTGCACGGTTCAGGATATTGTTTTAATAAAGATGTAAATGTGTAAAGGCATGGGGCTGCTGCAGTCTCCTAATGAACAGGACACACTCAGCTCAGCCAAAGGCTGTCATTACAGTACATCCATACATCCCATACGTCAGACAGACCTGATGCCAGTGGGCACTGCTCACCCCTGCCAGGTACTGTACCCCCAGGAAGGGCATGTGTTAACTGGGTATAGGTGAGCTCCATGCCAAGGTTCCAGTTTACTGCTGGGTTATAATGGCTGGTCTAAATAAGTCCATGCTCAGGTTGTGGTGTAGACAGGAGAGAATAAGGAGGGTAGGATTACTTCAGTAATACAAGGCAACAAGATCTATGTGCCTTCTAGATAAGATGTACTCTGAGTATCTCTAAAACGTACATGCCACCGAAGTATTTGGGTTTAGCCTACCTTGATGTAAGAAGAACATTGCAGCAAGCCGAGACTGGTTGAGAAAGTGCCTGGATAAAGAGAACAGATTAATTTACATTTTCCCTCTCTCTATTAGTGTTGTAGGAAATTAAAGAGGATATTGGGGTCATTATTGAAAACTTTGATGAGCCTTCCAGCCCAGCTTTAGTCCTTGTTGTTTGGGAGCTGTATTATGTGTGACTGCTGTTAGCAAGGGACGCCAGAGACCCAGAGAGTTTTTACAGTTGGAAAGATAAAAAATATTTGGCTCTACCTGAGAACTTTCTCTAAATGACACACAGTAAATTGAAACACACAAGGTAGAGGCCCTTATCCAGGCACATGTGGTCGTATTCTATGTCAAAATTAAGAAGCCAAAGCAAATAGGTTATAGATATAAAGAGATGCTATAAAGGTTTAGATTGTATGGTTTGATATAATAAAGAGGTGTATTGCATGAACATTAACAATATTTACAAGTTAGAAGTTACTCTAATCAATCTCACCACTTCAACATTCAGTAGGCTCTTGCGCATGGATATCAGAGAGAAGACTTTATGAGAGATGAACAAGAGTGGTAAAGAGAAAGAAAGACTGAAAGAGAAAGATAAGTAGGGAGTGGGAGAGAGCGATATCAGGCAAAGCTCCAGCAGAAATACATTATTTCTGAGAAAACAAAAAATGTGTACACTAGGTTTTTATTGCCTTAGAAAAGTAGTAAGGGAAAAGGGCAGTTTGGGATCCATTCATAGCTCTTATTAAAGACATGCTCCAGAAATTTGGCTATTACTAAGTATTTTTTTAAACCTCCCAATTTGGGCTGGATGTGTCAATGTGTAGTTCATACATAAATAAACTATGAGCAGAATTACTGTTTTACCTCAATTAACCACGGAATCCCTAGATTGAAAGCAACTGTTTTTCTGGAATCTGTGCTGCGCCATTTTCCCTAAACTTTCCCCCACGTGGGTTTGCCCCCTAGCAATTCGAGTTCAGCCAATGAGCTTCAGCCTCTCGCCATATGAGTGACAGCTAGCAAGAGGCACATCATGCACCCACAGCAGACCGAAAGAGAGAGCAATGACGTGGTGCACATAACTGCACATACACTATGTAGACACCCCTTCAAATTAGTGGATTTGGCTATTGCAGCCACACCCGTTGCTAACAAGTGTACAGCCATGCAATCTCCATAGACAAACATTGGCAGTAGAATGCTGAAGTGCGTAGCACGTAAAAATCGTCTGTCCTCAGTTGCAACACTCACTACAGAGTTCCAAACTGCCTCTGGAAGAAACTTCAGCACAATAACTGTCGGGAGCTTCATGAAATGGGTTTCAGTATAAAAATAAAAATAAAATAAAATGTATGCACTCACTTACTGTAAGTCGCTAGAGACTGCTAAATGACTAAAATGTAAAAAAAAAAAAATAATGTTTCCATGGCCAAGCAGCCGCACACGCCTAAGATCACCATGCGTAATGCCAAGCGTCAGCTGAAGTGGTGTAAAGCTCGCCACCAACGGACTCTGGAGCAGTAGAAATGCGTTCTCTGTAGTGATGAATCACGCTTCCCCATCTGGCAGTCCGACGGACAAATCTGGGTTGGGCTGATGCCAGGAGAGCGGTACCTGCCAGAATCCATAGTTCCAACTGTAAAGTTTGGTGGAGGAATAATAATGGTCTGGGGCTGTTTTTCATGGTTCTGGCTAGGCCCCTTAGTTCCAGTGAAGGGATATCTTAATGCTACAGCATACAATGACATTCTAGACGATTCTGTGCTTCCAACTTTGTGGCAACAGTTTGGGGAAGGCCCTTTCCTGTTTCAGCATGACAATGCCCTCGTGAACAAAGCGAGGTCCATACAGAAATGGTTTGTCGAGATCGGCCTACACAGAGCCCTGACCTCAACCCCATCGAACACCTTTGGGATGAATTGGAACGCCGCCTGCAAGCCAGGCCTAATCGCCCAACATCAGTGCCTGACCTCACTAATGCTCTTGTGGCTGAATGGAAGCAAGTCCCCGCAGTAATGTTCCAACATCTAGTGGAAAGCCTTCCCAAAAGAGTGGAGGCTGTTATCGCAGCAAAGGGGGGACCAACTCCATATTAATGCCCATGATTTTGGAATGAGATGTTCGATGAGAAGGTGCCCACATACTTTTGGCCATGTAGTGTACAACTCTTCTCTGCCTTGTCAGAATATTTATATTTCCAATCAAGTAGCTTTTTCCCTTTATAATAATTATATTTTTAGGGGGAACCGACTGCTGTACATGTATTGAGCTAATGATAGCTCCTGTTCTCTGTCTGTTTGTGACTGCGGTGTAGTGTATCTGATTCATCCCTTTCTGTACTGGAACAGCTGTGTGTCTTGGTGGGGCTCATCTGTTGCATTACAACCCTGACAGCCCTTCTCTCTGTGTCTGTAGTAACCCATGACCGTTCCACTGCTCTGCTTTGAGCAGCTGTGGTCTCTGGAGGAGGGTGTGTGTGTGTGTGTGTGTGTGTGTGTGTGTGTGTGTGTGTGTGTGTGTGTGTGTGTGTGTGTGTGTGTGTGTGTGTGTGTGTGTGTGTGTGTGTGTGTGTGTGTGTGTGTGTGTGTGTGTGTGTGTGTGTGTGTGTGTGTGTGTGTGTGCGTGTGCATACGTACGTGTATGCATGTGTGTGTCTGGAGATAAAAGGTGGTTGAGGAGGAAAAAGGACCATATGCTCTGTTTCAGTCCCTCTCCTTATCCTCTGCTATGGGAATTAAATCATGACCTCAGATTCTCCCCTTAGAAAGCCTTGAGTGACACTCAAGAGCGTACACATACAACTGGACTCACCGGGCCTGCTCACCTCTACTGTCATTCTGTTGCGTACATACAGTGAGGGAAAAAAGTATTTGATCCCCTGCTGATTTTGTACGTTTGCCCACTGACAAAGAAATTATCAGTCTATACTTTTTATGGTAGGTTTATTTGAACAGTGAGAGACAGAATAACAAGAAACAAATCCAGAAAAACGCATGTCAAAAATGTTATAAATTGATTTGCATTTTAATGAGGGAAATAAGTACTTGACCCCCTCTCAATCAGAAAGATGTCTGGTTCCCAGGTGTCTTTTATACAGGTAACGAGCTGAGATTAGGAGCTCACTCTTAAAGGGAGTGCTCCTAATCTCAGCTTGTTACCTGTATAAAAGACACCTGTCCACAGAAGCAAACAATCAATCAGATTCCAAACTCTCCACCATGGCCAAGACCAAAGAGCTCTCCAAGGATGTTAGACAAGATTGTAGACCTACACAAGGCTGGAATGGGCTACAAGACCATCGCCAAGCAGCTTGGTGAGAAGGTGACAACAGTTGGTGCGATTATTCGCAAATGGAAGAAACACAAAATAACTGTCAATCTCCCTCGGCCTCGGGCTCCATGCAAGATCTCACCTCGTGGAGTTGCAATGATCATGAGAACAGTGAGGAATCAGCCCAGAACTACACGGGAGGATCTTGTCAATGATCTCAAGGCAGCTGGGACCATAGTCACCAAGAAAACAATTGGTAACACACTACACCGTGAAGGACTGAAATCCTGCAGCGCCCGCAAGGTCCCCCTGCTCAAGAAAGCACACATACAGTGCCGTCTGAAGTTTGCCAATGAACATCTGAATGATTCAGAGGAGAACTGGGTGAGTGTTGTGGTCAGATGAGACCAAAATAGAGCTCTTTGGCATCGACTTAACTCGCCATGTTTGGAGGAGGAATGCTGCCTATGACCCCAAGAACACCATCCCCACCGTCAAACATGGAGGTGGAAACATTATGCTTTGGGGGTGTTTTTCTGCTAAGGGGACAGGACAACTTCACTGCATGAAAGGGACGATGGACGGGGCCATGTACCGTCAAATCTTGGGTGAGAACCTCCTTACCTCAGCCAGGGCATTGAAAATGGGTTGTGGATGGGTATTCCAGCATGACAATGACCCAAAACACACGGCCAAGGCAACAAAGGAGTGGCTCAAGAAGAAGCACATTAAGGTCCTGGAGTGGCCTAGCCAGTCTCCAGAACTTAATCCCATAGAAAATCTGTGGAGGGAGCTGAAGGTTCGAGTTGCCAAACGTCAGGCTCGAAACCTTAATGACTTGGAGAAGATCTGCAAAGAGGAGTGGGACAAAATCCCTCATGAGATGTGTGCAAACCTGGTGGCCATCTACAAGAAACGTCTGACCTCTGTGATTGCCAACAAGGGTTTTGCCACCAAGTACTAAGTCATGTTTAGCAGAGGGGTCAAATACTTATTTCCCTCATTAAAATGCAAATAAATTTATAACATTTTTGACATGCGTTTTTCTGGATTTTGTTGTTGTTATTCTGTCTCTCACTGTTGAAATAAACCTACCATTAAAATTATAGACTGATCATTTCTTTGTCCGTGGGCAAACGTACAAAATTAGCAGGGGATCAAATACTTTTTTCCCTCACTGTACAGTTAGAACTATGCCAACCGGACAACTATTGTTTTAAGTATGTCCAATTGCTAATACTAGTGAATATGAATGTGCCCAGTCTACGCAAAAGGAATACTGTTTTACTATAAGACTTGTAGAATGTATTATACGTCAGATCAGTGTCCATTGAATGCCATATAATGCTTTCAATTAAAGTTGTAGAGTTCTCACAAGCTCTTGACAGGGTCGTATGTGTAGACATGAAGTGTCTTCATCCTCTGGCCAATGGCCATTCCCCTACTACACACAAGCAGGCTGGCCACTTACTCTTGAGATCTGTTCTGTGAGGTGGATGGGCCTCCTGAGAGGAGAATGTGGGCCAGTCAGAGAGCATGCCAACGGGGAGAGACCATCACTATTGTCAGATCTAGGTCTCCTGTATTTACAGTGGGGGAAAAAAGTATTTAGTCAGCCACCAATTGTGCAAGTTCTCCCACTTAAAAAGATGAGAAAGGCCTGTAATTTTCATCATAGGTACACGTCAACTATGACAGACAAAATGAGGGAAAAAAATCCAGAAAATCACATTGTAGGATTCTTTATGAATTTATTTGCAAATTATGGTGGAAAATAAGTATTTGGTTAATGACAAAAGTTTCTCAATACTTTGTTATATACCCTTTGTTGGCAATGACACAGGTCAAACGTTTTCTGTAAGTCTTCACAAGGTTTTCACACACTGTTGCTGGTATTTTGGCCCATTCCTCCATGCAGATCTCCTCTAGAGCAGTGATGTTTTGGGGCTGTCGCTGGGCAACACGGACTTTCAACTCCCTCCAAAGATTTTCTATGGGGTTGAGATCTGGAGACTGGCTAGGCCACTCCAGGACCTTGAAATGCTTCTTACGAAGCCACTCCTTCGTTGCCCGGGCGGTGTGTTTGGGATCATTGTCATGCTGAAAGACCCAGCCATGTTTCATCTTCAATGCCCTTGCTGATGGAAGGAGGTTTTCACTCAAAATCTCACGATACATGGCCCCATTCATTCTTTCCTTTACACGGATCAGTCGTCCTGGTTCCTTTGCAGAAAAACAGCCCCAAAGCATGATGTTTCCACCCCCATGCTTCACAGTAGGTATGGTGTTCTTTGGATGCAACTCAGCATTCTTTGTCCTCCAAACACGACGAGTTGAGTTTTTACCAAAAAGTTCTATTTTGGTTTCATCTGACCATATGACATTCTCCCAATCCTCTTCTGGATCATCCAAATGCACTGTAGCAAACTTCAGACGGGCCTGGACATGTACTGGCTTAAGCAGGGGGACACGTCTGGCACTGCAGGATTTGAGTCCCTGGCGGCGTAGTGTGTTACTGATGGTAGGCTTTGTTACTTTGGTCCCAGCTCTCTGCAGGTCATTCACTAGGTCCCCCCGTGTGGTTCTGGGATTTTTGCTCACCGTTCTTGTGATCATTTTGACCCCACGGGGTGAGATCTTGTGTGGAGCCCCAGATCGAGGGAGATTATCAGTGGTCTTTTATGTCTTCCATTTCCTAATAATTGCTCCCACAGTTGATTTCTTCAAAACAATCTGCTTACCTATTGCAGATTCAGTCTTCCCAGCCTGGTGCAGGTCTACAATTTTGTTTCTGGTGTCCTTTGACAGCTCTTTGGTCATGGCCATAGTGGAGTTTGGAGTGTGACTGTTTGAGGTTGTGGACAGGTGTCTTTTATACTGATAACAAGTTCAAACAGGTGCCATTAATACGGGTAACGAGTGGAGGACAGAGGAGCCTCTTAAAGAAGAAGTTACAGGTCTGTGAGAGCCAGAAATCTTGCTTGTTTGTAGGTGACCAAATACTTATTTTCCACCATAATTTGCAAATAAATTCATAAAAAATCCTACAATGTGATTTTCTGGATTTTTTTCTCTCAATTTGTCTGTCATAGTTGACGTGTACCTATGATGAAAATTACAGGCCTCTCTCATCTTTTTAAGTGGGAGAACTTGCACAATTGGTGGCTGACTAAATCATTTTTTTCCCCACTGTATGTCTCTTCACCTTTACACACCATCCAGCGCCACAGGACAATCCCATCTAAAGTAGGTATCCTTCTGTGGCCACCTGGGCTCCAACCAGAAACAAAATGCCCAAATCTTAGGTAGAGTTCTTTCTGGGACCCCCAGAGGTATGTGAGGTATGATTCCGTCTTCCTCTAGGGCTTAGAACCAAGACCCCCCCCCCCCCCCCTTCAGTTCTGGAGAAAACTCTCAGGTAATAATAATAATATTAATATGCCATTTAGCAGACGCTTTTATCCAAAGCGACTTACAGTCATGCGTGCATACATTTTTGTGTATGGGTGGTCCCGGGGATCGAACCCACTACCTTGGCGTTACAAGCGCCGTGCTCTACCAGCTGAGCTACAGACAGCAATCATGTTCTCACTCAAGCCTAGACACCTCAGGCAACTGTGTGGGTTTCATTGCATTTCCATAGCTGTATATCTTTACATGGTGCCCCAGTTTGGTCTTTTTGATTAATTGTTCTGTATACATAGATGATCAATGGTGAGTTTCATGACCCTCTGGGTTCAGTTGGGAATATCCGCTCATAGATAGAATGGTTACTGTCCAAAGGTGTGGTCTCTGAAGCTCTTCGTCTTTTCTTTGTGTGTTTTATCATATTGTGTATGTACAGACAGTACTGCATCCTTCACCTTGGCCTACTAGTCCTTCCTGTGGAGATGTCTCTCAGTTCGTTTCCTATTGCTCTGTAGAGGTGTGCCATGGGCTTACACCTCCTATTTCCATCAGCAGGATGCTGGAATTCAGTAGTACAATCCTGGAGGAGGAGGCTAGCCACATATTCTCCTCCTTTCATCTTTGGTTTGACCCCATCCTCACTGCTAGGCTGGTTTATCTCCCATTCCATCAAGCCACTGCATGACTGTGGTCTGGTCACACAACCTCTTTAAGCAACACAAAGCTTGACATGCCTCTGACCTGCAGTTTAAAAGAGGAGAGGAGAGACATGTGTATTTGTGCATCCTGTTTGACACCTTTGGATCCCTAAGAGCAGAGCTGTTCTGCCTGTTCTGATGGGAGTTCAGGTTTTGTGAAAGGAAAAGGGTGTTTCACTGAATAACTTTTGATGGAGTGACTGGAGCTTTGTAAATATTAGCGGTGATGAGGAGTGTGCTGTGGAATGTGATGTTTCTTTAGTCTGTCCTCTTTGCACTGACTTGATTATCTCTGTGTATCTGTCTTTCAGGAGACGTTTACATACAGCCGACCCAGGATACCAAGAATCCTGTTATCTACGGAGTCTTCTCTGTCTCGGGGTGAGTGGCCAAACTTGTGCTAAGATACTTTTATTAGAAAATATTAACAATAATTATTGAAATATACTTTCATTGTCATATTATGTCCCTTTTTGGTTTATTTCAGTTCTTAACCCAATGAGCTGTCTGTCATCCCTCTCCATACAGCTCAGTGTTCAAGGGCTCTGCAGTGTGTGTCTACTCCATGGCTGACATCCGCCAGGTCTTCAATGGACCCTTCGCCCACAAGGAGGGGCCCAACTACCAGTGGGTGGCCTACACTGGGAAGATCCCCTACCCTCGGCCTGGGACGGTGAGCCTCACCCTCCCATGACCCTGAGTGTTGATACCATACCAAACTGGCATAAAAGACACTTAGACCTCAAATAGAAACCATTTGTCTTTCAAGCAGGACACAAACATCAGCCTCCACACCTACCCATAGGGTCCTCCTGCTATAAGAGTCCTAAAATCTCCCATTTTGTTGCTGTAATCTCCCTAGTAGTAATTTAAGTGGTTGTTGTTG